TTGATGGCTGCCAACTTGAAGAAGTAGGCAGTACCAAACACTCTAGTTAGAGGCTGCTGCCGAGTGGACAGAGAAAGTACGACATTGTCTCTTGGATTGGTACTGCTCGTCGGGTCTTCTAGAGCCTTAGAAAGTGTCTATGGATCGGATCCGAAATCTCCAAAATTCGCATGTACCGTGCATCTTTCGGGTCCGTCCTTTTCTATTGTTGTGAGTATTGGCTTGTGCCCGTGAAAAATGCGCGAAAACTGGAGCTATCTGACCACCACTGCTCGAGGCCTATCCTTTGAGCGAAGAACGCAGAGTTCGCTGCGATTTCATCACTAAGATATCCCAGAACATCCATTAAGGACGACTGGTATGGTCTGGATACGTTCTTCGTCGTCCACCTCACGAGGGCAGTCATTTAAAGAGTTAGTCAAAAGACGTACTTTTTTAAGATGGCATCGGATGTGAACTATAATCGGCCTTTGGATAAGTAGTGGGTCGTTGTTATCACACTGATTAGCAATTACGAGGATATGTTAGGCCGTTGGATTGGTTTTTCGGATGGACGATTTTCAATCTGCTGTGCAATTTTTATGTCGCAAGACTGGACATAAAACAGAAATTTATGCGAGCGGTCGAGTGGCGCTCGATTTTATAGTCATCTGAGTTGAGCGAAGGGGCATAAATAGCAACTATTGGCAGTTGTATGCAGACGAGATGCGATAAGAGGGTTCAACTGAATAAGCGCTTTGGTCGTATCCTCCTGTGCAACACATATTGTAAACTTGTCGCCTATTCTCCTCAACTAATCTTTTGGGGGGATTATCTGGAAAACTCTGCATAAAGATGACGGTGCTGACTTTGTGCTTGGACGCCGGTTGACTAACCTCAACACTGCAACAGTGGTAGATAATAACGGATCACAATACTTTGAGTATCTTCATACTGCACACAGGCAACCGGACTTCCAGTATACAGGTAGTGTCAATACCGCAGCAAGTGCACATTGTCGTGGTAGTGTGCCAAGGTTTTTTAGAGTATGCAAGTTACAGCCGGCAACACGAATTTCCTCTCAGTCGAGAATGTGTGCCCTAATACACAGCATAGTGTTCAGTGGTTGGAGTCTGAAGTCCGGTCCTGTCTGTATAATGTGACCTCATCTGTAAGACGACAGCGGGTAAAGTCATACTAGACGGCGTGCAAACTCCGATATCGTAATGCTGTTACAGGTGACCAATGTTTGCAGGGTAAACAGCTGTTGTTTCTGATGCACAAACTTCTACCCCTCATTCGGCCGTCCGATATTTGTGCAACAGGCTTGCGATGAGGGCTATTTAAGAGACGCCGGTTAGACGACAGCCAAGGGGAACTGACACCTCGAGATTACAATTTGTCCTGCTCTAGCCGGACAGTAGTTGTATGATGTCACGAATGAGCAACGGCAACTAAATGGCGTCCAGATGCAAGTCGAACATGAATTTCCACTTTCCGCCCGTATTTGCAGCGCACACTGTTGAAGCGGATTGGAACGGTCTGTTATATGACAGTGACAACAGGCAGCTGATTTCGCCGGCGACAATGGAGTCCGGTAACCTGGTATGACAGAAGGAACGTTGTCCAGGTTGATTACATTCTTGGAGGCAAATGCGAGCCTCGGCGGTCCGTGCGGAGTCAACCCGATATTTCGTGATACTTTTGTCCAGAATGCCGAGCGGCAGGCAGCAAGATGAATTTGCGTTAACTTGTGGATCAAGTACGCGGCCATAGGCACCTGAAATAAGCTTATACTTAGTATTTAACACTTTCTTTTCAATTGACCACTTTAAAGCTATTACTGGCAAGAGTCGGGCTCGGATAATTTGACGTGTCCGAGAATTTCAATGTCAGCTTGGATAATACAGTAACTGAACCGTCTTAGTCGAAGTGGCGGGCCAGTTGGCCAGCGGACTATATGGCTGAAGTGCAGAAGTTGGCCGAGAAAGTGAGTGAAGGGAGTATTTCAAGGGACGGGGTACGAGTACTGTCAATCGAATATTTGCAGATGACATACTAGATCTGGACATGAATTTCTTTACAGAGGCCTCGTATATCTTCAGCTTGGCCTTTTAGTTGCTCTAACGAATTCCAAGGGCTACCATAAAGGGAAATAAATCCGTGGCCTTCTAGTTGAACCGACGTTTTATTTCATGTTTACCTTAACCATCTGGCAAAAAATTCAATTTAAGTTAATAGAAACGGCTTAGCTGACTAAATACTTTCCCGTCTACCGCAAGTAAGCTGTTATCTTTAGCCGCAAAACCTGAGCTGTATATCTTTACTTTCA